CTCAGGACTTTGCTCCTTGTGAGCCCAGCAAGAGAAAAAAGGAGGAGAAAAGAAGACAGAGAAGCTCATGGATTGCAAGGAAGACAGATCTTTCTATCAATGACCTCGATGCAGGAGTTGAAGGCAGCATTAGCAAGTTCGCTGACGATACTCAAGTGGGAGGCACTTTTGACTCTCCTGAGGGATGAGGGGCCTTGTAGAGGAATCTCGATAGATTGGGGAGCTCTGGGCAATCATCAGTGGCATGAAATTTAACAAGAACTAATACCAGATTCTGCACCTTGGAAAGGAGCAATGCTGGGCACAAGTATGAATGGAGAGAGGAGTGGCTTTAGAGCAGCCCTACAGAAAGGGATCTGGGGGTGCTGGTGGGCACCAGGCTCAACAGGACTCAGCAGTGTGCCCTGGCAGCCAAGAGGGCAAACCACATCCTAGGGTGCATCAAACCCATCATAACCAGCCAGTCAAAAGAGGGGATTATCCCGTCATACTTGGTACTGGTGTGGCCTCACCTTGAGTACAGTGTGCAGATCTGGAGCCCACCATTTAAGAAGGATATGAAGGTCCTTGAGTGCATCCAGAGAAGGACAACAAAGGTGGTGAAAGGGCTGGAAGCCACGTTTTTTGAGGAGTGGCTGAGGACTTTGAGCTTGGAGAAAAGGAGGCTGAGGGAGGACCTTGTTGCTCTCTGTGGCTTCCTAAAGAAGGGAAGTGGAGAGGGAGGTGCTGAGCTCTTCTCCCTGGTATCCAGTGACTGGACATGTGGGAATAGTTCAAAGTTGCATCAGTCATGGAAGGTTTAGACTGGACATTAGAAAGCATTTCTTTACTGAGAGGGTGTTCAAGCACTGGAACAGGCTTCCTAGAGAGGTGGTCAATGCCCCAAGCCTGTCAGTGTTTAAAATGCATTTGGACAATGCCCTCAATAACTTGCTTTAACTCTTGGTCAGGCGGTTGGACTAGGTGATCCTTGTAGGTGCCTTCCAGCTGAGTTTATTCTATTCTATTCTATTCTATTCTATTCTATTCTATTCTAAATATCATAAATACAAAGTAGGTAATTTTTCCCAGGGAGCAACCTGTCCTCAGGGGAGTCTCTCTTCTGGTGCCTGGAACTCTTCTTCCCCTCTTTCTCCTCCACTCACCTTGGTGGTCTCAGGGGCTGTTTCACTTCTTTCCTCACTCCTCACTCTGCCATGCAGCATTTTGGTCAATCAAACCTCAAATGTGTTTTCCCACATGTGCCACCAGCTTGAATGCTGGGTTCAGCTTTGTCTTGTAGTGGGTCCACTGTGGCTGGAACAGGGTCTGTCAAACACAGGGCAGCCCCTGGCCCCTTAGAATCATAGAATCATAGAATCATTCAGGTTGGAAGAGACCCTTGGGATCATCAAGTCCAACCATCTACCCTACTCTACAAAGTCCTCCCCTACACCATATCCCTCAGTACCGCATCTAAACGTCCCTTAAACACATCCAGGGATGGTGACTCAACCACCTCCCTGGGCAGCCTGTTCCAATGCCCGACCACTCTCTCTGTGAAGAATTCCTTCCTAATGTTCAGTCTAAACCTCCCCTGTTGGAGCTTGAAGCCATTCCCTCTCGTTCTATTGTTAATTACCTGTGAGAAGAGACCAGCCCCAACCTCTCTACAGTGTCCTTTCAAGTAGTTGTAGAGAGTGATGAGGTCTCCCCTCAGCCTCCTCTTCCTCATACTGAACAGCCCCAGCTCCTTCAGCCGCTCTTCATATGATTTGTCTTCTAGGCCCTTCACTAGTTTCGTTGCCCTCCTCTGCACTCGCTCCAGCACCTCGATATCTCTCTTGTATTGAGGTGCCCAAAACTGGACACAATACTCGAGGTGTGGCCTCACCAGTGCTGAGTACAGGGGCATAATCACCTCCCTACTTCTGCTGGTCACACAATTTTTAATACAAGCCAGAATGCCATTGGCTTTCTTGGCCACCTGGGCACACTGCCGGCTCATATTCAGCCGCTTGTCGATTAGAACCCCCAGGTCTCTTTCCTCCAGGCAGCTTTCCAGCCACACTTCCCCCAGCCTGTAGCGCTGGCTAAACCTGAGGCTCCACCACTGCCAAAACCTGGATGCCTGCACCCACCAGAGGGTTTTATCTGCACCAGAAGTGACCTTGCCAGCTGCCTGAGAGATACAAGTGTCATGGTTTGCACTGGGCTGGCCACTAAAATGAAAAACAGTGCTCTGCCCAGTCTGTCCCTTCAGGAAGAGAAGGATAAGAGAGAGGCTTATGAGTTGAAAAGATATTAGACTACTTTAATGAAATATTAATAATAAAATAATAAAAAGAAATAATAATAATAATTATAAGAAATAAATTAAATATATACAAATTATACAAACCCCTCGTGAACTTCTAGGATGACAATAATGTCACCACAGGTACTGGGAAAGTCCCAGACTGGACTCGGCAACAGATGGGAGATAAACTCAGGATCTGGATTCAGGAACACATGGATTGGGATCAGAGGCAGAAGAAATGACAGAGTCGTCCTCAAACATTTGACATTGAAGGAACAGGCCTAACCCCTTGATCCCTCAGCTTTTTTAGTGAGCATGATGCAGAGTAGGTGAAAACAGAGATCCCCCAAGCCACTTCTCCACAAATCGCTTGCCTGATTCGATGGCACCTGAGCACAGTAGCATCTCATTTCTATAGTAGGGTTCCATGGTCATCTAACTATAAGGGAAATGTAATCTGAGCAAACAACCCAGCTAATACCGAAATAATAAGGGTAAGCAACCTGTGATTTTTGTGTAGATTGATTCTTAAGGGATCTGAAATAAAGCTGTTTCACACTGAAGATTTTTTACCTTTATTTTTCTATTCTAAGAACATGACATGTCAACTTTGTCCTTACTAGAGGAATAAAAAGGGTAGGATTTTTTTTTGCAGATCATTATAAAGTGCTCTGTCCTGACAAGAAAACTTAACAATGAATAACTACATCCTTTGACTGTGAGATCTATGATCACAGCAGCCATAACCGAGTTTGCTATCTATACATATTACACAGGCATCGTGTAATCACCCATTTTTAAAACTCTTTTTTGTTTTTTTGGTTTTTTTTTTGTTTGTTTGTTTGGGCTTTTTTTGTTTGTTTGTTTGTTTGGTTTTTTAATTCAGGCATTTAATTATTTGTATGTGAAAATACACCATATTATCACTTTATTTGATCATATGCTTAGGTCACATGAACCACTTTAGCTTTCAATGACAACTTTGAAGGGAAAAAATACTGCATTTAAGGCATCTTGAATTTAACAGGAAATAATAATTACAAAAATGCAGAACAGAAGTTGAGTTATTGGTAATTTTTTCAAATTTATTTAGTATACCTAAATGTATGTTGTCAAACTTACATTCTTTTGTTTACAAAATATGTTGAATATTATAAAAGTAATAAATGTAAAGATAAAACTAACATCAAAATTTGAAAATCCTTAGTTCCATTTTACATATGGGTATTTCATTTATTCAAGGAAAAAATAAGTTTTGTATGTTCTTGTATAATAAAATTATTTTTTAAATCAACTTTTACTCATATTCCAAACTTTCCGATACATACAGTTTGTGAAATACCGCAATGACTACAAAGAATACTCACTCTTTTTTAACATATGAAAAATAAATTACGTTCAACAGATTTCACTGATGCAGTGCAAAGTCATACATTCCACAACACTTGTGCCAAAGCACTAATTACAGAGCTCAAGAAGAACACAAGTTATTGGTCTCAGAACAGGACCTGTGTGCAGTCTAATGGCAGATGATGCAGAGAAGATCTTACCAAATGAACCAGTTCCTCTTTCTTAAATTCTTGGAATATTTGAGCTGATGTTATTAACACCAGCTGCTTGTTAATCTTCTGATAATTCTACCAGGGTGTATTAAGTGTTATCAGGTTTCCAACACAGAACATCACTTTTTTTGAATCTGAATGTCAAACAGAATTCAGTTTTGTGTTTACTGACTCTATCTCCACTCCAAATTCTGAGTTCATTGGTAGGATCAAATAGAACACTGTAATTCTGTAGAGTACATTTTAAAAATAGAAGCATGTCCTAAATACATTGTTTGCTATCTCTTTGTATCTCTGCAAACATCAAAGAAATGCAGTAGACACTGAAACTAGTTCTTCACTTTTCCATACACTGACAGCAGTGCACACCATCCCAAAACTTGTAAGCCTGCAGTTCACATACAATTCTTCGTTTTCCATTTGCAGGGCCAGTAGATAGTTGACGTGTCATCTGTGTCAGAAGAAAAGAGAGGAAGCAGTGAATGGCAGCATTCAGCAGCTCTCCACCTTCTCTGCATCCCCTTTCACCATGGCACGCATCTCATTCAACAGCGGGCCCACATTTTCTCTAGTTTTCCTTTTGCCTCCACTACACCTGAAGAAACCCTTCCTGGTGGCCTTGACACCCCTTGCCAGGTTGAATTCCAAGGAGGCCTTGGCTTCCCTCGTCTCATCCCTGCCTACTCTGACAGCGTTCTGGTAATCTTCCCAAGTTCCTTCTTCCATGTACTCTAAACTTCCTTCTTCCACCTGAGCTTTTTCAGAAGCTCTCTGCTCAACCCTGCAGGTCTCCTGCTTTCTTTTGCCTGATTTCTTGCTCTTTGCAATGCACGGATCCTGAGCTTGGAGAAGGTGACAGTGGAATATCGACCAGCTCTCTGGAGCGCCCCGACCTTCCAGAGCCCTAACCCATGGGATTTCTCCAAGCAGTTTCTGGAAGAGGTCAAAGTGAGCCCTCCTGAAGTCCAAGGTTGCAAATGTCCATGCTCTGCTGACTCTTGCACAATCACTGCAAGACCTGCAGATCAGCCCTGCAATTGATTTTCTTCTGTTGTGGCTGGCACGTGTGTTTTCCCTTTGGAAAGGGCCTCCACCCCTTTCGACATCAAAGAGGGCTCCCGTAATCAAGAGGTTGTTTAAGTATTTGGAACAGTGGGAAAAGCTGGTTTCAAAACTCTGGTGATGACTGTCAGAAAGGGGTGCGTCTGCATCAGTCCAGAGAGAGCTGGACAGGGGACGGGGCTGCTCCGACTTGGTGGGCATCCTGGTTTGAGGTCAAACAGAACCCATTTGCTCTGCAGTGATTTGACTTTTCAGCTGAGCCTCTTCTAACTCACTGCCTCTCTGAGATTAACGGCATAGTTTTCAGACAGTGTGTGCTTCTAGCAGACGAGGTCTGATGTTTCTAGTGAATCCCAAGGAACGGTATGCAGAGAGGCTCCTGTTTATTCTTCTTGCTATACCAGCCAAGGCCAGTTCACTTTGTTCTGCACAAAGCTGGAGGGCAGCAGTGGAAAAGGGTCTTTAGTGGGCTCACACCTGTGGGGTGTGGGGAGGAGCGTACAGGACAGGCGACCCAAAACTGACCAAGAGGGTACTCCATCCCACGTGCCTCATGTCGGTAGAAAAGCTGAGGGATGAAAGGGGTCAGCCTCTTTCTTCAATGGCCAGGGAGCCCAAGGAGAACTCTTGTCTCTTGGTCGGCCTTTGATCCCGACTCATGCCTTCCTGACTCCAGATGCAGAACCTGGGTCTTGTCCGTCGTTGATTCCAGTCTGGGACATTCCCAGTGCCTGCTGCCGATGGGATCATCAGCCTGGGAGCTCGAGACAAGTCTTTCTCTCTCTTCTGTTCTCTCCCTCCTTCTTGGAAGGGGAGTCAGGTTAAAGAGGCCATCTGTGGGTGGGTTTAGTGGCCAGCCCAGCCCAAACCACAGCAGGGGTGCCCGAGAGCAAGCTGCCGGCCAGAGCAGAAGGGTGTGGGTGCCTCTCTCCTCGCCTCCGCTGAGGTGGGGCTGGGGCTGCACGATGCAGTCTCTCCAAGGGCAGGCGTCAGAGCTCCTCCAGGGAAATCCAAGCAGCAAAACTCAATCGGCACCTACAAGGCAAGGACAGAGGCAGAAAGCGCTGATGAAACCACGGAGGCGGGAGAGGCGGGACTCTGTCGCCCGTTCTTTGGGAAGTCCAATGAAAAAAGGGTAGTTCCTGGCACAGAGAGAGAGCCCTTCTGAGCAGTGGCTGCGGTGTGGGCCTTTCCAAAACCCGAGCAGCAGCATCCCTCACTGTGCCTTGCTAGAAACACAGCTTAGAGGGCCAAAGATGCTTCTCTTGTACCGATTGGTTGGTTTTGTCTCCCTTCCGCTACTCCGAGCAGTGTTCAGAGCTTTAAAGGATGGACAGCAGAGTCTGCCACACACCTGGGCTCCTCGTTCTTCTTGCCTCCTTGGATTTCCTCAGTTGTCCGTCTCGGAGAGCTCTTTTTCCAGCTGTCTTCTCTTAACCTCTGGTTGACCATCACCCTCCCTTTCAAAGGTTGCCTTTCGCTTTCTGCTGGAACGTGAGGAGCCTGGCAACCTTTCCAAAAAGAGTATTGTTAGACGGGCAAAGCCACGGTAAACTGGAACCCATTCTGCTCTTAAAACCAAAGCTGTCTCATTTTACCTTCTCTCCTCGGTCAACCTCTGCACGTGCTCGCTTTCTGGAGCTGCTGGAGGCACCTGCAACAGAAATGTGGACTTTATCAAGTGGCCAGGACCTAGCTGCCCAATTTGGTTGGGTCATGCTCTCTGCGGACCTGACATACTTCTACTGCTTCTGCTTTTACCTCCAGTGCTGCTGACTCCGTGCCTGATGCCCCGGCAACCACAGCCTCCTCCTCCCCCTCCAAGAGTTCCTCGTGGTGTTCAATGAGGAACTCGACCAGCTGCGTGACCTGCACAAAGCAAACCATTGGTGTCATGGCTGAGAACGGGTCCAAGAGCCTCTCCCCCTCCGGACCCTTGCTTCTCTGCTGGGACCGGGAAGCTGTAGCCATCTGGTAAGCACAGCGTACCTTCTGCGTCACCTTCACTAGGACGTCGAGGGGGAGGGTCTGCTCCTCAGGTGGGCTGAGCAGGTTTGGCCCCACACAGATGGCCAGGTTGGCAGCACTCATCCTGCTGGTGCCCACGTTGCTGCTGATGGCTTTCAGCAAGGACAGCAACTGCTTGAGGAGCAGGAGGTTGCTTTGGGGCAACTTGCTGGCCACCCTGAGAGGAACAGGCACACAACGTTAATAAAGCAGACGCTGTCACCGCAGGTCCCCCAGGCTGATCTCACCCAAGCCTACGCCGGGGAAGGCTCCCTGGCCAGGCCTGGTCTCCAGCAGAAGGACTGCCTTCTCTGAGCTACGGCTACCTCTTTCCCTCCCTGCTCTTCTGACCAGAGTCCCTTCCTGGAACAACCCACCATGCCTGCCCCAAGCGCTCCAAGGAGAGAAATGCTTGGCTGTGCCACCACCGTGCCCCCAAAGCCCACCCCACAGCAGCCAGCCGTGCCCGGCAGAGAACACGGCTGTGTCAAGGAGGCCGTGGCTTTGCAGGCAAGTGCTGGCCTCTGCCAGCCCCTGGGCAGCAGCAGGTGCTGGCCACACTTACTCTTTGAGCGCTGCCAGCTTCTCCTGCCTGCTGTCCTTCTGCAGGGCGCTGATCCACTCCTCATAGAGCTCTGCCTGGAGGAGCTTGGAGGGGATCCTGCGGAGGAAGTCCTGCAAGGCCAAGGGCTCCAGGTGAGGCTTGGGGCACTCCTGGCGGGAGCAGGGGCAGCCTCCCCGTCACTCTGGCTCAGGAGCAGGCGGCTGGCTTTGGGTTCCTGCCCATCTGCACCAAGCGAGCCGGGAGCTGCCAGGCCCCAGGGGAGCAGGCTTCACCTTCAAGATGACGGCCAGCAAGTGCGCAGGCTGGCTTTCCAGGTGGACCTCCGCTCCGGAGTCCAGGGCCTCCCTGAGCTGCCGGGAGGCCTGCTCGCCGGCCGCCAGCCGGAAGATCCCCTCCGTGGATGGCCCGTGCTGGTGCAGAAGAGCCAGCAGGTCCTGCAGGGCAGAGGGGAGGAGAGTTGGTGGGCTGTAGACGGGCTTTGGGGCAGGTGAAGGTAGCTTCGGGGCAGGAGCAAGCGTGGGCAGCTCTGCGGCTCTCCGTGGGGCAGGATGGAGGGGTGGGTGAGATGGGGAGGAGCGGGCTTTGTCCCCGAGCCCCAGCTGGGTTCCCTCTGCTCGGGCCAGCGCCTCTGCAGAGGAGCCAGAGGGCTGGGCACCCCCTAGGCAGGCGTGCTTACCTGGATGGGCTGGGGAGGGGTGCCATCCTGGCTGCAGAGAGCTGCCAGGGGCCGGCCAAAGAGAACCCCGCTGCTGCCAGAGCCCGACGGCCCGGGCGCTGCTGCAGCGGCCGAGTTCCCTCGCCGGCCAAATGGCCAGGGAAGAAAGCTCCTCCTGCTGCCGGTCCCACCTGCTGCCAAGGACAAGAGGGCAAAGAGGCGTGGAGGAGGAGAAGTGCCAGGTGAGCGCTCCCGCACCCTCTCAGCACTGTCCCCCCTCCACCCAAAGAAGGGGAGAGGGGTGGTTTGGGAAGAAGGGGCTCTGGGGGCTCAGCTCTCTCCCGCCGCAGAACTATGGGGATGGACATGCCCCGCTGCAGCACCAGTGCCCGCCTGCCAGAGGAGAAGGGCCCTCCGGTCCCCGTCTCCTGCAAACTCACCAGCTGTGTGGCCAGGTCCTCCTTGGCTGGCAGAGGAGACGGGAGCTGGCCGCTGCTTGGCACCAGCCTGCAAGAAATGCCCTGTGCTCAGCCAGCAGCCCCGCAGCAGAAAGGGCCCGCGGGGAGCTGCGTCGGCCCCTAGCCCTGCCAGATGGCAGCCCGAGGAGCCTCACCTCTGCCTGCCGCTCGACCAGCCTCTCCAGGCTGCTGGCATGGAGTGTGGTGGCCTGGGCAAGGGCAAAAGAGCAGAAGGTGAGAAGCCGTGCCCCTGCTGCCGGGCTGGAGCAGGCTCTGGGGACAGAGCGGAGACAGGAGGGACACTCACGGCATTGCGGCGCCTCAGCTCCTTCCGCAGGAGCTTGATGGAGGGCACCTGGGTGACGCGGGCTCCCTCCACTCCTGCTGGTGGCCTGTGCACAGGGACGGGGCAGAGAAAGAGCAGTGTGAGACCCCAGCTGCCTTGTCCCTCCCCCGCCCGCCCTGGGAGCCCCTTCCAAGGTGCCCGCAAGCAGCCGGGCACCCTCCGGCAGTGGAGTGGAGTGGAGAGCAGCGGCAGTGGTGGGGCCGGGGCTGGGCAGGTGTTGGCTGGACACGGCTGGGTGAAGCAGCTGCCCCAGCTCTGCCCGCTGGAGAGCTGCCCACAGCCGTGGGGGCACCTCTCCCCAGCTGGGGAGGGCCGTTTCCCCATGGTGGGGCTACGCCTGGAGCATCCCCCCGGTGCTGGGAGCAGGGCTTGCCCAGGCTGCACGGCCGGGCAGGGCTTACCCAAGGAGGGCGCTGAGCCAGAGCTCCTTCACCACCCGGGAGCTGCAGACAGAGAGGGGAAACAGCCTGAGTGCCCGCTGCGGCACAGCCCTGCCCCGTGGGGACGGCCACAGAGGCAGGACAGAGCCCCCTGGGGACGGCCACAGAGGCACCCCCCAGCCCTGCCGTGGGGACGAGGCACCCAGACTCACCAGAAGGTGACCACGCAGGAGCCGCAGGGCCAGAGCAGGACAAGGGACTTGGCGTCCTTGCCCTTCTCCTCCGTGGTGGCATCGCCAGCTGCCCCCTTCCCGCTGCAGAGCACCTGCAGCATGGCCAGGGCCAGGCAGAGCTGCGGGCGCGGGGCGCTGCCACGTCTGCAGAGAGGAGCGTCAGGGAGTGACCTGGAGGTGGCCAAGCCCGGGGGCTGCCCTCCAGCCTCCCCCTGCCATGGGGGCGGCCACGGGTGCATCCAGCAGCAGGGTGCCGGGGGCCTGGGGCTTGGGAGGAAAGGGGCTCTGCGAGTCTTACTTGGCCTTGGCGATGACCAAGGTGTCCCTGTAGAGGAGCAGCTCCCTCTTCCTGCTCCGCCGGCCCTCGGTCACCTTCACGCGCTGCCGGTGCAGCGGCTCGGGTGGTGCTGCCACGGGCTCAGGGTCGTCCCTGGGGAGCAGACGGCGTCGGGCATGAGCAAGGGGGCTGCCGCGGGGACCGGCCGTGCCGGCGTGTCCCCGAGCCATGGGGGGAGCTCACCTGGAGCCCTGGCAGCAGTTGACCTGTCCCATCTCAACGGCCTCACGCGGGACACAGCTGTGGGGCTGATGACAGTGCCCAGCTGGCCCACGCAAGGCTGCCAAGGGGGGTCGCGGTGCCAAAAACCACTCTCACAAGGACGCTGGGCAAGAGCTGGGCTCTGCCAGTGACGCTCGCTCGGTGCTGGCACAGCACTGTCCCTGCAGGGCCCTGGGGAGGTTGCCAGGCCAGCGCTGGGTTCACCATTGTGATGTCAAGACTGGCCAGGGGGGCCGTGGTGGGGGAGGGGCACTGGGGGGCTCTCCCCACTAAGACCATGGCTCTCGCCTACTTGACCTCCAGTCCAACCATCAACCAAACACTGCCAAAACCACCACTAAACCAAGTTGCTAAGCACCACATCTACCCATCATTCCAATCCCTCCAGGGACGGTGATTCCATTACTTCGCTGGGCAGCCTCAGCCTCTTCCAACGCTTGAGAGCTCTCTTGATGGAGAAATTTGTCACCACTTGTGACTGGCCTCCAACGGACTCCATTCACCAGTACTCTCTGGGTCTGGCCCTCTCCATGCTTTTTTATCCAGTGAAGCATGCACCCATCCAGGCCATAAGCAGCCAGTTTCTCCAGGATAATGCTGTGGGAAATGGTGACAAAGGCTTTACGAAAGTCTAGATAAACAACATCCCCTGAGCGGGTTACCAGACCTCCTGGAAGCTGGGAGTGTAGTTACTTAGGGCAGTGATTGCCATTGTTAATCATGAAGCAAAGATGGCATTGCCTTTGAAACACTTCAGATGCCAGCTCGGAGAGTCACATGCAAATTTCCATGCTCTTCTGACTCCTGCACAATCACTGCAAGACCTGCAGATCAGCCCTGCAATTGGTTTTGCCTGTTGTGGCTGGCACGTGTGTTTTCCCTTTGGAAAGGACCTCCACCCCTTTCAACATCAAAGAGGCGACCCAAAACTGACCAAGAGGGTGCTCCGTCCCACGTGCCTCATGTCAGTAGAAAAGCTGAGGGATGAAAGGCTGTATTCTCAGCAAGTTTGCTGATGATACCAAATTAGGAGGACTGGCTGACACCCCAGAGGGCTGTGCCGCCATCCAGCGCGATCTGAACAGGCTGGAGAGCTGGGCAGAGAAGAACCTAATGAGGTTCAACAAGGACAAATGTAGGGTCCTTCACCTGGGGAGGAAGAACCCCAGGCACCAGTACAGGTTAGGGATGGATCTTCTGGGAAGCACTACTGAGGAGAAAGATCTGGGCTGCATAGGAAAGAGTGTGGCCAGCAGGTCGAGGGAGGTCATTCTCCCTCTCTACTCGGCACTGGTGAGGCCACAACTGGAATACTGTGTCCAGTTCTGGGCCCCCCAGTTCAAGAGGGACAGGGAACTGCTGGAAAGAGTCCAGCGTAGGGCTACAAAGATGATTCAAGGACTGGAGCATCTCCCTTATGAGGAGAGGCTGAAAGAGCTGGGACTCTTTAGTCTGGAGAAGAGAAGGCTGAGGGGAGACCTTATTAATGCCTGGATGCAGTCCTGAGTAACATGCTCTGACAAGCTCTGGGTGGTCCTGCTTCAGCAGGGGAGTTGGACTAGATGATCTCTATGGTCCCTTCCAACTCTAAAAATTCAGTGAAATTCAGTGAAATTCAGTGAGATGTAGTGGATACTGAGAAATCAGCTCTGTAATAAATCATCTTGTGTCCATACTGTTTACAATATTTAGTTCATAACAAAAATAAAATGCAACTTTGTCAGGGCAGAAATGACACTTGCTCAGAAACCAAGAGGTAAGAAGTGTTTACCACAGTTTCACACAGATGTACATCTGGGTACATCCACTTTCCACCAGTCACCACAGCAGTCACTCCTCTGTCCCTTACTTCAGAGTTAGTAGCATTTATAGTAAGAGAAGGACAAATGTCAAAGAATGTGCAAACTGGGAAGGGTCTGGTAAGCTTCTGAATTTTATTGTTTCTATATGGTATATATCATAGAGCGAGTCACAGAAGGAGAGAATCATAGAATTATTGAATGGTTTGGGTTAGAAGGGATCATCTAGTGCAATACTCCCACCACAGTCACGGACATCTTTCACTAGATCAGATTGCTCTAAGCACCGTCCAACCTGGCCTTGGACACTTCCAATAATGGAGCATTTACAACTTCTCTGAGCAACCTGTTCCAGTGTCTCACCATCCTTATTGTAAAAAAACTTTTCCTTATATCCAATCTAAATTGACCTCTTTCAGTTTAAAAGCATTTTGCCTTGTCCTGTCATTACAGGCCTTGGTAAAAAGTCTTTCTCCATCTTTCTTATAAGCCCCCTTCAAATATTGAGAGGTCTCCCTGGGGACTTCTCTTCCCCAGGCTGAACACCCTCAACTCTCTCAGCCTTTCTTCATAGGAGAGGTGTTCCATTTCTCTGATAATTTTCATGCCCCTCCTCTGGACTTGCTTTAACATGTCTTCTTGTGCTGCAAACTCCAGATGCTGGATGCAGTACTCCAGGTGGGGTCTCACAAGAGCAGAGAGGGAGAATTACCTCCCTTGCTGTCTCCACTTCTCTTTAGGCAGCCCAGGATACAATTGATTCTCGCTATCTATGTCATTGCTGCAGATATT